GGGCCTGGCCGGGACGGCTAGTATATATATATATATATATATATATATATATATATATATATATATATACATATATAGGCCTATATATTTAAATGGGGGGGGGGGACTAACATTTTTTTTGCGGGGTGGCCCCCTTTTTCTAGTTCCGCCACTGAGACTTTCTCTATACTTCGTATATACGAGAAAGTAAAAAGGGCATCAAAGCGCCGATGTTCTTCTATCCATCAGTACCCAAGCTGGGGTGGTCTCAGCTACTTTTGCTAAAGCCTTGTTGTAAAACACTCAAGGGAGAGAATTCAAATCATACATGTTTACTATCACATATTTTGTAAAAATAAAGTAAGTAAACATACATAAAACCAAAAGTATTGTTAATATATTCTTTCTGATTATTTACAGAATACAGGATAGTACAAAATAGTAGTTCTACAATTACAAATAAACCGGGAGTGATCTCCCCTAAACTTTCTGGAATATTCTTATAGTCTTATATGAAACAACAGGGGATGGCAACTCGGGATATAGACATAATTTTACAAACTTTTATTTAAATCACTTCCTCGTCAGTCTGTCGTCAGTCTATCTGTCTAGATCGAAACGCCCGAGCGATACGGCTCTACCTGGCAGATATGGTTCGTAGTTGGTACAAAGGTCAAGACACGAAGACAATGCAACATGATATTAAATTTGACTTAATTGGATACCTAATTATTTTTTAATCAATTAATTAATATTTTGACCAAATTAGTAGGCAGTCTTATCCAACTACTCCATAAGCGTCATCACGTTCAATAGTACTAAAACATTTCATAAAAAAACTTTTTAATAACAAGCTTTTTTGTAATAATGCACTAAAAGGAGAAAATAAATTATACGCTGCTATTTAAATAACTAGAAAGAAAAGCGTGGGTCTCTTCCTAAATATTAGTAAAGGTATCCTATAGATACTAAAGTGACCCACGCTTTTCTTTATAGTTATTTAAATATTAGTGTATAATTTATTTTTTCCTTTTTAGTGCATTATTACATAAAAGCTTATTATTAAAACTTTTTTTATGAAATGTTTTAAAATCCATTTCTAATTACTTAAACTTTTGAAAATAGAATATAATCTCGTAGAAAAAAGAATTGCACACCAAGTGAATGCCAAATAAAATTAGAGAATTAGATCTTTTACTTACATGTGAAATTTCATTTATCTATCTGAAATAGTACTCAAGTTATAGGCTTTTGAAAAATTCAAAGTAGAAAAAGTTCCACTTCCGGTTATCGGGAATCGCTCAAAAGTTGATACGGAACTACGATTTTGATATAATACTTATATATGATATTTCATCAACCTAGCTGTATCGGTACTTAAGTTATCGTGTTTACACACATACACACACACGGACAAAATTGCAAAGTCCAATTTTTCCTACTCGATTACGCGTAAAGCGCCGAAATTTTAATAAATCTGGATTTAGAATTTTTGCCCGATTAAAATAAGTCCCCTATACTCCGTTTATGAAGAAGTACTGAGAAGTAAAACGGTGGAAACGGTCAAAATTTCATGTTATTTTTGTGCACTATTACAATACTTTCTCTATACTCTGCATACGAGAAAGTAAAAATTAAGTATGTCTACTCTAGACGGTTGAGAAATAATGTTGGTGTTGTTTATGGAGGTATTTATGTTGTAGTGTTAGTTCACTTCATGCAGTTATTCGTAGTAATGCTTGTTTGACTGTAGCATTGTCAAGTGTAGGGGGTACCCATCTAAGGGTCCCGTTGATTTTGACATATTCATGTAGTGAGAAGTGCAGTGTGTATGGACCATGTGTTTTGGTTGTGTTGTGCTTTGTGGTGACGTCAAAGGCTTGTGAGGAGAAGTACCAGGTGTCGGCTCTGACGTAGTTGAGTAGAAGAATTAGTTACTTGCTGGTGAGTTGTCTGATTATATGACCTCGCAGGTTTGGTTGTCCTCTTGATGTGATAATTACTTGCATTGTAGGCTAGACTATTACAGTTAAATACGATCTGGACATTCTTCTTCAGGTAATTCTAGAGTTACTGTTGTTGACTCTGAAAAGGTGTGGCCCAATTGTTTCATTAACCTTCTTTAGCCGTGGCTCATGCGGCTACTCCCATCGGCTCTCACCTTAGAGGGAATAGTTGAGGGGGAGCAACCCCACTGTCAGTGTTGGAATTAATTGCTTTTTCCACAAAATATACAGTTGATATGGACGCAGTGCCTCTGTAACGAAAGTTTAAATGTGAATAATATATTGCAGATTGGTATGACTTCAACAAATTATAAAATTTACAAATTTTGTCACAATGATAGTGTTATGCATCTCCTTGCTTATTTTCAGCATCTAGGGCCTAAAGGTTTGGGGAACAAATGTCCTCGATTTCTAATAAAATTTATTTATAAAAAATTGTTTGCCTAATAAACAATATCTTTTTTTTTTTTAAATACTTTTATTAGCAATTTAAAACAAGTACATCAACATCAAATTCTTTACATAATTTCGAACATCAAATGTAAACGAAAGGTTTTGCAAATGTACATAATAAATATTTACATGATTTCATGTATGTGAATATACAAAATTGAAAGAGATAACAGTAAAAGGTCAAATGAAAGTGTCAGGAGTCCAGGTGGGGAGTGGAAAGGATAGTGTTCATAGAGGGTGGGGGGGGGTGGTTGGGGAGAGTCAATGGGGCAGTGAAGCATTTTCTATGTAGAGAAACAAATTATGTTGACCAGTTGAAAGGTCGCGTTAAGTTTTCAAGGGTTCACATTTTTTTTTTAATCAATTGTTTTAAACATTTAAATCAGTAATAATAATTTGTTTGATAGTTTTACACAGCATCAAAGATATGAACATCAATTGCATATATAATAATCAAAGAGAGAAAATAAAATGGCAAAAGACTAGACTAAAATAAGGTGTGCTAACTCGGTTTCTCTTCACTGCTCAGTTTACTGTGCTCCGTCCTTAGCTGTGGAGTCAAAAGTTCACATTGTAGCCAGCCATGGACAGAAATAGAAACGACCGTGGGAGAAGTGTCTCTGTAATACTCATACTGATCTATCATTCCAAAAGTGTCCATGACATTAAATTGACCCTTGGCGATGAAGGCACGCTACCTTGAAATATCCGCCTGTCCGGTTGAATGTGTGTGTGTGTGTGGGGGGGGGGAAATGTGTGTGTGTGTGTGGGGGGGGGTGAGGTGTGTATCTCTTTCTACCATTCAGGTTGTGCATTTTAAAAACCTGGGAAAAAGAAGACTGTTCTAGTGTTAATTTACTTGGGGGCTGATAGAGTGATGTTTGGATTGAGACTGTCTAAATTAAGATTAATACTTTATTGATTGCTTTCCTGTACATTTTTTCCCCAGTTAAGTGAGAGTTCCCAGTATATGTCTTAGCTTTGCTTGAAATATTTCTTTTAACTCGATCTCCGTGTATATTGTGAAAAAATATCTGGATTTGTTCCTAATTTGCCATACAGTCGATCTATAAATAGCCGTTGCTACTAGTCTGTTTTCGTCTTCTGTTCTTTGTCTAGTCGTGTTAATTAAATTAAGTGTGATTACTTTATTTGTTGTGGCTGTTTGATTGGTGGTATTTAATATTTTCGCAAGTGTTTGCTTTCTGTACTGATATACAATCTAAATAAATGTGTTTCTCAGTTTCTTGTATATTTTGTTTACACGTTTGACATGTTATTTTAACATTTTGATTTGACTTTGTATTTCGTGAAACTGGAGTTGTATTAAAAATCAATCTGTATGCTACTTCCCTTTCTTTTGGTGTAATACGTTTATTATGTGTATAAACAATATCGCAAACAGCAACAATCTAACTATACTATACATAAGAACTGTTCAACGGATAGTTCTTTTATTTTAAAAGAAAGTAAGGAAATAAAACTACATTGTTCGACATACGGGTAAAAGAGATAAAAATATAATTAAAAATTGAAGGTCATCCTAATTTTCCAAATTTTTGAAACCAATATAATATTCTAACTACCTTTTTGAAGGAACAAAATATTTTAACAATTTTCACCTTAATTATGCATTTTTCTATCAACACAATTAATTTTATTTGAATTATTTCCCCTACAAAGAGGAATACATTTAGTGCCCTTTGATCTTTAAATCACATTATTTCAAGTTTTTCATCTCACGGAGACATGCTGAGAATTGTTGTCAAATGTCGTTTGTATTCACTCGACTTTTAATCTATATTTGTGACTTAACTAATTAGTGGCTGGATTGCTGTTAAATGAGATTTGTTGTGTTGGCATGAGTGTGGCGGTAATCAGGAGCCTTACCTATCATAAAAGATTCAGAGGCGTAGCGAAGGGGGGGGGGGGCAGGGGGGTACATATGTCCCCGGACGCCGACCTTAGGGGGCGCCAAAATGGGTTGGAAAAACAAATTAAAATCTCATTTTAGGTGCAGTTTTGCATTATGAATATAAAAATATATATGGGGGGGGGGTGCAAATGGAAAGTTTGAGGGGGCGGGGGTGCTAATTGAAAATTGAAGGTTTGTTCCCGAGGGGGGCGCCAAATTAATAGTTTGTCCCCGGGCGCCGGGAAGGGTCGCTACGCCACTGAAAAGATTACATGTTTCTTTTCCTACAGTATTTGCATGAAATAGGCCTATATATAAAGTTTATTATTAATCTACTATTTAAAAAAACAGTTTAGCGAGAAGTAATTTAAGTACCCTCTTCACCCTTAAAGTCCACGGTGAAGGTGAAATAGAGTTCACTTGTTTCTGTGATCTCGGCATATGCCGAAAATAGGGGAAGGGGACCAAATTTCCGGGGGGGGGGGCGGCGGGGACACTGGTAAAAGTATGTGAAGAAATGCATGTTGAGATGCATGAAAGAAACTCTGTCCCCGTCCGAATATACACTTCACTACAACGTGTACCACTTTTGCACACCACAGAAGTATTTATAGAACTTAGGAGCGCACCATACTGTCGCAGCGTATCAAACTTTTTACATTCTGACATACTTGAATCGTATGCCATCAAACGTCAAGACTGGATTTTAAAAAATCATGAAAACAACATTAGCGTTTAATTTATAATTAACATATTTATATATTGGATACAATATATTGGTAAGTTATGATAAAATTATGGTTTTCAGCTGCAAATCTATAATAGATCAATGTGCAAACATCAGCATTCGACAGCCTAGTTGAAAAGGGTCTAGAATCTAGTAGTCTGTCACTCTAGATCTGTGTAAACTCACGATGTAGATAAAGCGCAGGTTATTATTCCAGAATAGGTTAGCAGTAAAAAATGTAATTAGTTTTCCGCACCGTTCCGAACTACACCGGAAGGTACTGTAATTATCTTTTTTGAAACACAAAGCGTTTGTAAATTTGGATCCTTCGTTTGTTTTAGTTTTTGTAAATTTAGTCGTCATTTTTTACTAGATCTATAATCTATATCCAAGTGTTGCAAATTATAAATCTACTATTTGTTGATATTTTTGTGCAAGCTGTTTTCATAATTGCTCAATTGTTCAATTACATCAATTAAAGATAAAACCTTAATTTATTACACTAGATTTTTAGCGCAATTTCCATTCTGGAGAATTGCGTTTATTTAATATTTTAACGGTCAAATAAACTATGGTTTACAGTAACTGACGCTGACAAAACTCGACAAAAATTACCAGGTAATTTCTGACGTTGTATCTTGAGATTATGGGACGGTGTGGGCTAGCGGTAATAGAGTTAATCTTTTTTTTCTAGGACACGTCTCATTACTAACCTATTCGTCTACTTGACAACAGTCTTGACCTATCACCTGATGTATTGACACGTCTAATCCCTTTCGTCACTGCCTTCTCTTTCAGCTAATGACGACGTATTTCGTTTTGTCTTTATAAACACGTTAATGTTTTTATTTCACTTATTCTTAGCATTTAAAAAAAAAGATTTGTTCTAAAGCTTCTGATAATGTTTATGTTGAATGTTGTCGTCAACATGCTGAAGCTACTTTTTAAAATACTTGAACAACACATCTTTAAAACGCTGATTGCATGAAATAATCTTTTAAACAGTTTCTCTGTGTTATTGAAGTAACCCTATTGAGTAATTGAAGTAACAAAATCTTTATATTTTTTTTAGGCTTCAATCTTCTACTGTAAAAATAAGAGATGAGCAAAAAATTTGAAAACCCAAAGACAGTTTTGAAAAACACAGACAGCCTCCTACAAGAAAAAGAGTTATTTGATTATTCTGTAAAGGTGGAAGATGAAAACTTTCGATGTCACCGTGTTATTCTGGCAGCGTCGTCACATTTCTTCAGAGCACTTTTTAGATCAAACATGAAGGAAGAGAAAGAGGGTTGTGTAACTCTAAGTGGGATGTCAGCTCCAACGTTTCAATTTATTTTAAAGTCTTTGTACACCGGAGAGGTTGATTTAAGGTCGGACAAGTTTATAGAAGTATGGCAGGCAGCTGATCAACTTCAGGTAGATTTTATTGTGCAAAACTGCGAGGATTTTGCTTGCGAAGTTATCGCGCTTGAAAACTTTGAGGTCATTTTTAAAACCGCCAAAAGTTTAAATTCCAAAAAAGTTTTAGATATTCGGAAAACTTTTCTGCTGGAAAAATTCGATGAAGTTAGTGGAACAGATGTTTTAATGGACCTTGAATTCAATGACTTCAATGAGTTGATTGGCTCTAATGATCTAAAGGTGAGTTCTGAGGATACAGTTCTTGCGACGGTAATGAGGTGGATTGAGTATGTTTCTGAAAACTCCTTAACTAAAGACTGTAATCAAGCTTATTCCGGTATAAATAGCGTGGAAAATACTTTGACAGATTTTGATAGTCTTGATGAGTTCAACGACAGTGAAGTAGAGACAAATGAAAATAAAAGAATCGAAGTGTTGATAACTTTACTGAAGTCTGTAAGGACGTGTCTCGTAACTACCCCACTCTTGAAGCATTTTTTAAAGCATCAGCTAATTGGTAATACTGAAGCTAAAGATATCATTGAAAATGCTGTATTGTATAACACAACACATAACCAGGGACAATGGCTAACTGCATCTATACATCGTGCCTGTGGTGAATTTGAACACTGTGGTCTTGTGTGTATTGATAACAGCAGAATTTATACACTAACCGCGTCTACTGAAGAAATTCACACGTGTGCAGCTAATAGTGCTGTAAATGCGAATGTAGCATTTGTTGTGTTTGACTCGGATTTGTACATGACTGGAAGCAATGCTAAGTTTAAGAGAACCAGCATTCTCTATGTTTTAAGCGGCAAGTCTTGGCAGAAAGTAGCGCACATAAAAGGACGTGAATTGATTTTAGTTTCGTACGAAGATTGCATATTTGCTTTGAACAAGGCGAATACAACAATGTACACAATAACGAAGCAAAAATGCAACACAAAAGTTGAAGAATTTACCAAACTACCGGACAGATTAATTGTGAAACATGCTTTAACTTATAAGAGGAAAATTTTGATTTTTTGTTCAGTGACCGTCAATGGCGTAGAAAAAACATGTGTGCATCAGCTGGACATTCTAACCAAGGAATTAACAGAATTAGAACAATTGAATGGACCAGCTGAACAGATAATAAGTTTCAGTGATGACAACTATACTTACGTTTTACAAACCAATGGAAATTTGTGGTCTATTTGTTTATCAGGAAGCACAGTTTCTTTCAAATATGTGATCAAATTGTGGACCATACATAGGAAGCTACACGGAGCTCTTACCTATAGACAAAAGCTGATTATTTTTGGTCAGAACGCAAACACCGAATCCGCCGAACAAAAACTACAGTATCAGCTCGATGGTTATTTCAACAACATACGTTACTGGGGCCATGATAGTACGTGCTCAAATTTTGTACCTATAATCCTTCCTAAATCTGAATTGGTGCCATATCAAGGTGTTACTTGATTTCATTTTATCCATTCATATTACAAACATATATTCATTAAAACAACTCGCATGTAGTATGTGATGAATTTATATGTCTTATATATTCAGTGACTTTAGACAGATGTTTTACAGTGTTATATTGATTATATTTTCTTACAATGTATGACAACAAACTGGACTTCACAAAAAACAAACACATTTTTTTCCAAGCAGAAATATTTTATATTAGACTTTAGAATTACATTTCAGTCCATTTGAATTTTTGCTGCTTTGTACTAATATTACCATGAACCTGTGTATTCTTTTAAAGAAATGTATGTAAACTAATAAAAATAAAAAATACAAGCAAAATTAGGAATAAGTCCAGCATTATTGAAAGCTTTATTTTTGACAACTATATTCTCATAACTGATGTCTAATTTTACATTCTTCTATAAGTATTTTGGATATATTAGGCAGATTTAAATGTTTATATACTAGTTATGTTATATAATGCTATTCCTTAAACTATAATATGATTATCAAAATAAATATCCATCGAATATACTTTAAAGATTTTCTTCAATGTTGTAAAAGTTTAAATTGTAACACTATATATGAAATTAATGTTTGTACTGCCGTTCTGTTTAATTACAAAGTTGTTTTTTTTAATGTCTGTAAATACATTTATCTGAACAAATATCGCAATTGTCGTATTTGCGAGGGAAGTGGGGGACTTCCACTGCCAACCCCAAAGCACGACCAACTCCCCCCCAAACCCCAAACAAAATAAAACCAACATAGAAAATTAATACTCTTACAATGCTATAATGAAATACGTTGAAATAAACGCTAGACTAAGCTTCAATTGTGTACTATAGCCTTAGGTTACAACTCTGTCTGATGTAACTGCTTAACAGTTTCCACGATCACTTACAGAAGATATGGACGTCCTTGCTTTGCCTTGACAGTACAGCATCAACAGAACTTTAAAACTGCTAACTATGTATGAAACAAAAATGTTTGCTAAAGACCATACGACTATAGACATTTAAACGCTTATAATATGACTAAAATGTTTCAATTTTACTCGCATCAAACCTACATTGAAAAAATAATATCCGCCGATTCGCATCTTGTAGTCCTCCATTTTAATCAAATAAGAAAAACATGCTACATTAGATACACGAGTACAAAAGCGTAGCGAGGGGGGGGGGGACATATGTCCCCGGGCGCCGACCTTAGGGGCGCCAAAATGGGTTGGACAAATACATTGAAAGCTTGAGGGCGGGGGGGGGGTGCAAAACGAAAATTTGAGGGGGGGTGCATATCAAAATGTTGAGGGGGTGCAAATCGAAAGTTCGAGGGGAGGGGGGGGGGGGTGCAAATCGAAATCTTGAGGGGGGGGGGGTGTACAAATCGAAAGTTTGTTCCCGGTCGCTACGCCTCAGCTCGAGTATATTCACTTATACATAAAACTACACGTATTTCCATTTTAATCAAATAAGAAAAAATGGCTGCATTAGATACTCGAGTATGTTCAATTTTATATAAAGCTACATTTATTCAACATAATATTTCATGTACTGGTCTATTACACAATCATAAAGATTGTCCCGTGTCAACATAATATTGTAATCAATGCCAAACTTATTAAAGTGATCTCCCTTGTTTATTTTTTCTGTGTGTACATGCAAGACAGAGCAACACATTTTTTATTGTTCATAAATATTGCGGGAATCGCTTATAAACTTATAAATATATTTAGTAAACAGTGACCTATAAAGGGACAGTATCACCACGACAATGGCTAATCACAAGAATAACTCATAACACAAATAAATAAAAGTCTATTAAATTAATAATAAAAAACACTCAAGCACTCACGTAGGCACGCATACACACACAATTACATACATATATAATTATTTGTTTTCACATATATATATATATATATATATATATATATACATATATATGTATATATATATATATATATATATATATATATATATATATATATATATATATATATATATATATATATATATATACTTATTTTTGAGAAAATAGGATGAAAAAATTATGTCTAGTTTGAAAGAAATTGTGTTGTTAAAAATGTTGAGATTTCTGCAAATGTTTTATCAAAGACTGACTGAAAAATCACAACACATGACGTTAAATAAGAGCATGTAAAAATGTTGACGCTTTCATCATTGATGAAAATCTTAATTGCATAGACAAAATTTCTAATCTTTTTTTATGTTATAGCACAAATGAATAATTTGAAATACCTGTATAAAAACAAAAACATTCCCAATAAACTCGAAAACATGACATAATGTTCAAAAATAGGTATTATTTATAAAACATATAAGTAGGCTACCTTTAGAAATAAAATCATTCCAAACTCATATGTTGATCAAAATCTAATTCTAAACTTACGAGTACACATGTGTTTGACTTGTAAAACTGTCAGCTGTTAAATTAAATTGTATTGTTTGATTTCATTTTATGGAACACATACTCATTAACTTAACGAAATTGAGATACCAGAGCGAAAATGTAATTGCCGTCACATTTAGCAAGTTTGATTTGAAAGTGTTAAATAAAACATTACAGTATATCTCGTCTGAGTAAACGTATTATAAAGTAGGTAAAGTTCACTTTCAAACCTGACTGTTTACGGGGCAAGTAAAGTAGAGTTCACTTGTTTAACGTATTGTAAAGTAGGTAAGTAAAGTTCACTTTCAAACCTGACTGTTTACGGGGCAAGTGAAGTAAAGTTCGCTTGTTTAACGTATTGTACACACTATTTAAGATGGGAGCAATTCAGTTTTAGGAAGGACTACAGGGACGAAATTTGAACATGGGCTCTCGTGCCCCCAGTACCGTATGTTGTTAAAATAACCATTTAGTGGATCGAGTCGTTTTTGTTGCACTGGATCGCCGGTGACGGTTTGGCCAAAAACAAGCAGCTTTTGTTTGTAGGTTAGGGCACCGTACAGCCTTCTTTGTATGTTCCATAACTTTTCCACATATTTGAAAGAAACTGTGTTTCCTGAAAAACAAATATACCATAGTTTCCCATTGGTTTGTAAAACGTAAGTATTGTTGTCATCACTGAAACTTATTATCTGTTCTGCTGGTCCATTCAATTGTTCTAACTCTGTTAATCCCTTGGTTAGAATGTCCAGCTGATGAACTGCAGTTTTCTCTTCACCATTGACGGTCACTGAACAAAAAATCAGAATTTTTCTCTGATAAATTACAGCGTGTTTCACATTTAAACCGTCCGGTAGCTTCATAAACTCTAGAACTTTGTTGTTCCATTTTTTCTTTATTATGGTATGTATTGTCGAATTCGTTTTGTTCACAACAAAAATACCTTCCTCATACGGAACTAAAATTAACCGACGTCCTTTTATTTCCGTTAGTTTCTGCCAAGTTTTGTCGCTCAAAACACAGAGAATGCTGTTTGTCTGAGAAGGATCCATAGCCCCAGTGGCGTACAAATCTGAGTCAAACACAACAAAAGTTACATCGGCGTTTACTAAATTATTCTTTGTACATATGTGAATTTCTTCAGTATTTGCAGCTATGCTATAAATAGTGTTATTATTAATGCACACAACACCACAGTTTTCCATGTCACTGCATGCACGGTGCATAGCAGCGTTCGGCCATTGTCCGTTTTCATTTTTTGTTTGATACAAAACAGCGTTCGTTATAATATCTTTAGCTTCCATGTTGTCAACTATAAGCGGGTGATTTAGAACATCGTTCAGGAGTTGACTGGATACAAGGCACGTCCTCACAGACTTCAGTAACGTTGGCAGTACTTCAATTCTTTTTCCATTAGTTTTACTTGCATTAACATTTTGGGCTTCTGTGTCATACATCTGACTAATATTTTCGATGCTGTTTATTGTTGTAGATTCAGGACTAAAACTACTCCTACCAGCTTTATCGTCCTCTTGCTCTTCAGTTGTGAAGGATTCTGTTGAGAAATACTCAACCCATTTTATTACAGTCTCCAAAACGTAATCCTCAGAATTCACTTTGAGATTATGAGAATCAATCAACTCATTGAATTCATTGAACTCAAGCTCCATTAAAGAATCGATAGGACCAACGGCATCGAAATTATTTAATATAAACTTTTTCCAATTATTCAAAACTGCTTTGGAGTTTAATTTTTTGGCAATTTTGAAAATTTCCTCACAGCGGTCAATGGTCGTAGCACTATTAGCAAAGTTTTCACAATTTTGTACAAGAAAATCTACCTGAAGTTGATCAGCAGCCTGCCATACTTCTATAAAGTTGTCTATCGTTAACACCACTTTTCCAGTGTACAAAGACTTTAAAATAAATTGAAACGTTGGAGCTGACATCCCACTTAGAGTTACACAACCCAGTTTTTCTTCCTTCATGTGTGATCGTAGAAGGGCTCTGAAGAAATCTGACGACACCGCCAGAACAAAACGGTGACAGCGAAATGTTTCTTTTTCCACCTCCACTGAAAAATCCAACAACTCATTTGCTTGTAGAAGTTTGTCTGCGTTTTTGACAATAGCCTGAGAGTTTTCGTATTCTTTGATCATCGTTTACTTTTTATGATAGGAGCTATAGGCTCTGGAAATAAAAATAAAAATTTCAGTGATAAAGTAATTTATCATAAAAAGTACGGAGGTATTAAACATATTTGTACAACTATTGTTGAAAAAATTAAAAATCATTTAAGTAGAAAAACACAATTTTTTAGTAGCTGGTCTTTATGACAGAATAAAAGTAAAGATTAACATTAGACTAACAGTAGACATGTTAAAAACAATTGTTTTAAATATCTCAATTTAAAGCGTTAATTTGTAAACGTGTAACGAAGAACTATTGAGACAAAACTTTAATCAATATCAACACCGCTAGATTTTCTCAGTGAACACTATCATTTGTACATCAAGATATTATAGACTAAATTATTTGATATAGATTCCTAGATCTAGATCTAGATCTAGATCTAAATCTAGATCTAGATCTATCTAATTTTTTTAACTTTCTAAAATTGGCTTCCCATCTCTCAACTTACCAGAAAAAAAACCTATTCAATACACGCAAAAATTAAAATTCGTATACCTAAACTAGTATCGTTGTTATTAATTGAGATGCCCATCTGTAATATTTAATCACTAGAAATGCTAACCTAAAACTCAAATAGATTATGTTGCAAAACAAAAAAAAATATGAATAACAGCATCAGTGCAGATAAGTTGGCCTAGACGCGTCAAAGTTATTTTTATCTGGATTTAGCGATAGTGTGCACACGTTTTATATATTACATTAAATATAGTTGAATGCTAAATGGGATAGTTTACAAAATGTATAGCTATTGTATATCTTCTTCTTTTTCGTTCTTAATTTTAGTGTTGGAAGGGATCCCCTCCAACACAATTAAGTATACGTGTCAACTAGTTTTGCGCCATTGTAGCCATTGACTCGGATTTCAGCCTGCTTTTCCTTTTTTTTTGTTTTGCTTCCATAGCCTTTGTCCAACCAAGAACAAACTACAAAGCAGCAGTTGTTTGATTTTGGAGTTGACTTTCCTAAAATCAGTGGCTATTCCCAGCTAACGAA